CTTCACCCTTTGTGCCCACCCCCCACCCCACCTTTCCCCTGGTATCCACTAAACTGTTCTTGGTCCATAATTTTAAATTCCTCATATGAGTGGAGTCATACACAGATTATCTTTCTCTCGCTGGCTTATTTCACTTAACATAATTCTCTCAAGGTCCATCCATGTTATTGCAAATGGAATGATTTTGTTCTGTTTTGCAGCTGAGTAGTATTCCATTGTATATATGTACCACATCTTCTTTATCCATTCGTCTGTTGATGGGCACTTAGGTTGCTTCCACGTCTTGGCTATTGTAAATAATGCTGCAATAAACATTGGGGTGCACAGGACTTTTGGGATTGCTGACTTCAAGCTCTTTGGATAAATACCCAGTAGTGGGATAGCTGGATCGTATGGTAGTTCTATTTTTAGTTTTTTGAGGAATCTCCATACTGTTTTCCATAGTGGCTGCACCAGTTTGCATTCCCACCAGCAGTGTAGGAGGGTTCCTTTTTCTCCGCAACCTCTCCAACATTTGTTGCTATTAGTTTTAGATATTTTTGTCATTCTAATGGGTGTAAGGTGATATCTTAGTGTAGTTTTGATTTGCATTTCCCTGATGATCAGCGATGATGAGCATCTTTTCATGTGTCTATTGGCCATCCGTATATCTTCTTTGGAGAAATGTCTGTTCATGTCTCCAGCCCATTTTTTCATTGGGTTGTTTGATGTTTTGTGGTTGAGTTGCGAGAGTTCTCTATATATTATGAATATTAAGCCTTTGTCAGATATATGACTTGCAAATATTTTTTCCCAGTTAGTGGGTTGTTTTTTTGTTTCAATCCTGTTTTCATTTGCCTTGAAGAAGCTCTTTAATCTGATGAAGTCCCATTGGTTTATTCTTTCTGTTGTTTCCCTTGTCTGAGAAGACATGGTGTCCGAAAAGATCCTTTTAATACTGATGTCAAAGAGTGTACTGCCTGCGTTTTCTTCTAGAAGCCTTATGGTTTCAGGTCTCACCTTTAGGTCTTTAATCCATTTTGAGTTTATTTTGGTGAATGGTGAAAAAGAATGGTCAATTTTCATTCTTTTACATGTGGCTTTCCAGTTTTCCCAGCACCATTTGTTGAAAAGACTTTCTTTTCTCCATTGTATGCCCTCAGCTCCTTTGTCAAAGATAAGCTGTCCATAGATGTGTGGTTTTATTTCTGGGCTTTCAATTCTGTTCCATTGATCTGTGCACCTATTTTTGTACCAGTACCGTGCTGTTTTGATTACTGTAGCTTTGTAGTATGTTTTGAAGTCAGGGATTGTGATGCCTCCCGTTTTGTTCTTTTTTCTCAGGATTGCTTTAGAAATTTGGAGTCTTTTGTTGCCCCACATGAATTTTAGGATTCTTTGTTCTAATTCTGTAAAGAATGTCATTGGGATTCTGATTGGGATGGTGTTGAATCTGTAGATTGCTTTAGGTAGAATGGACATTTTAACTATGTTTATTCTGCCAATCCATGTACATGGAATGTCTTTCCATCTCCTTATGTCGTCATCCAATTCTCTCAGAAACGCCTTATAATTTTCATTATATAGGTCCTTCACTTCCTTAGTTAAATTTACCCCAAGGTATTTTATTCTTTTTGTTGCGATTGTGAATGGTATTGTATTCTTGAGTTCTTTTTCTGTTGGTTCATTACTGGAGTATAGAAATGCTACTGATTTATGCAAATTGATTTTATACCCTGCAACTTTGCTGTAGTTGTTGATTACTTTTAACAGTTTTCCAATGGATTCTTTGGGGTTTTCTATATATAAGATCATGTCATCTGCAAACAGCGAGAATTTCACTTCTTCCCTCCCTATTTGGATTCCTTTTATTCCTTTTTCTTGCCTGATTGCTCTGGCCAGGACCTCCAGTACTATGTTAAATAAGAGTGGTGATAGAGGGCATCCTTGTCTCGTTCCTGTTTTCAGGGGGATGGGGTTCAGTTTTTGCCCATTGAGTATGATGTTGGCTATGGGTTTGTCGTATATGGCCTTTATTATGTTGAGGTAGTTTCCTTCTATGCCCATTTTGTTCAGAGTTTTTATCATAAATGGCTGTTGGATCTTGTCAAATGCCTTCTCTGCATCTATTGAGATGATCATGTGGTTTTTACTCCTCAGTTTGTTGATGTGGTGTATCACATTGATTGATTTGCAGATGTTGAACCATCCCTGTGTCCCTGGTATGAATCCCACCTGATCCTGATGTATGATTCTTTTGATGAATTGCTGAATTCTGGTTGCCAAAATTTTGTTTAGAATTTTTGCATCTATGTTCATCAGTGATATTGGCCTGCAGTTCTCCTTTTTCGTGCTGTCCTTTACAGGTTTTGGTATCAGCGTGATGTTGGCCTCATAGAATGTGTTAGGAAGTGTTCCATCTTCCCTAATTTTTTGGAATAGCTTGAAAAGGATAGGTATTAAATCCTCTCTGAAAGTTTGGTAGAATTCCCCAGGAAAGCCATCCGGTCCTGGGGTTTTATTCTTTGGGATGTTTTGATTGCTGTTTCAATCTCTTTCCTCGTGATTGGTCTGTTCAAATTGTCTGCCTCTTCTTGAGTGAGCTTTGGGAGATTGTAGGAGTCCAAGAATTTATCCATTTCTTCTAGGTTATCCATTCTGTTGGCATATAGTTTTTTGTATTTCTGCAGAGTCTGTTGTTATTTCTCCTCGCTCATTTCTGATTTTGTTTATTTGAGCTTTCTCCCTTTTTTTCTTTGTAAGTCTGGCTAGTGGTTTGTCAGTTTTATTTATCTTCTCAAAAAACCAGCTCTTTGTCTCATTGATCCTTTCTACTGCCTTTTTCGTTTCAATGGTATTTATTTCTGCTCTGATTTTTATTATTTCTCTCCTTCTGCTGACTTTGGGCTTCATTTGTTCTTTTTTCTCTAGTTCAGTTAGGTGTGCTTTACAATTAAAAATTTTAAGAAATTTTTAAAAGAATTTTGATGGATAAATGAGAAAAAGACAAATATCTAATAAACAATCAAAGCAGCTAATTAAAAATAAATAAATACTAGAAAACCTCCCTGGTAGTGAACGAAATGATTGAGATCAGGAGACAGCACCCACCACTTGACAGTTTGGCCAAAACAAAAACTTGGGGCGATGTGGCCTCATGGGTCCAGAGACCATCCTGAGACCCCGGACCAAGCCCATCCTGATCCGGCAGCCAGAGGCAAAGGGGCAAGGGGCCACGGCCTGCGGGCCCGACAAGGGGGCCAGCACCGGCGTCTCCAGGCAACATGCACGGCTGGTGCGAGCCCAGGCCAGCCGTCCTCGCCACTTCCCGTGCGTGGCGGGCAGTGTGTGTGGACGAGGGTGGCGCGAGGCTGCCACCCCAGGCTCCAGGTGCTGCTGCTCCACTGTCCCCAGGGCCAGGTGTGCGCTGAGCCTGGCAACTGAGGGCACCGGCTTCCTCAGCATCACCCAGGGTGCCCTCATGGTTCCTCTGTCCTCCGGGGTCCAGCATGGGCTCGCCTAGATGGCCACCTGCCCTTCCCGACTACCTGGCCTTCAGAGTCAAGCCCCGACACCCCACCCGAAGCAGCCAGGTCCCCAGAGCCAGCCCTTTGTGGAGCTCTCCAAGCACGCGCTGGCCCTGCGACTCCGACTCTGGTTGCTGTGGACTGATTTGTGTCCGGCACTCAGTCCCCGTGCTGGAGCCCTGCTCCTGACGGCACGGGCTGTGGAGCGGGCCTTTGAGAGGTCCCCAGGGCTGGATGAAGTCATGAGGGGGGCCCTCACGATGGGGTTAGTGTTCCTACGAGAAGGAACTCGAGAGCTTGCTCTCCCTCCCAGCGCGAGAGGACACAGCCAGAAGGCAGCTGTCAGCAAGCCAGGAAGCAAGCCCTCCCCAGACCAGCCCTGCCGGCTGCCCGACCCCGGACGGCCCTGCCCAAGCCGAGAGAAAGAAACATGTGCTGTTGGAGCCACCGGAACGCTCCAAGGCGCTGTCCGACACAGCTGGAGAAGGGCGCCCCACCGCCAACTGATCCAGGCCACTACCTCCAGGGGAGACAGCAGTGTGCTGACCAGTTAGGACAGACGACGGCGTGTTAGTGTCCTGGGGCCACCATCACCACCACAAACCGCAAACCGGGGGCTTAAAACAGGAGCTGCCTCTCCCCGCGGGAGGCCAGTGGTCTGAGACCGAGATGCGGACAGGGCCGGTCCCTCAGGAGGCTCCAGGGAGGGCCCTCCTCGCCTCCCCCAGCTTCTGGAGGCTCCGGGGCTCCCTGGCTTGTGGTGGTGTCCCCCCACAGTCCCTGCCTCCATCTCCACATGGCCCTCCTCCACGTCTGTGCCTCCTGTCTCTCCTAAGGACACATGTCACTGAATTTGGAGCCCATCCAGGCAGTCTCGTCTCCAAGCTCCCCTTTAACGACACCTGCAGACCCCAATCCTGCCCTGGCCATAGTCGCGGGTGCTGGAAGGCACACCTCGGGCACGCGTCCTGGGCTGCCAGGCACCCAGGGTGCCAGCGGTGCAGCCGGCGCCATCTCGGGGCCTCCGTCCACACAGAGAGGTTGGGTGGGGGTTCTTCAGGGAAGGGAGCTTGGTCACTCTGGGCTTCAGATGTCACTTTAAGACCTTTCTGCAGTGTCTCTCCTGCCAGGAGCACCGACTCTCTGGGAACAGAGGGCTGCGGAGCACAGAGCCTGGGGTTCACCACCCCCTCGGCCCGACTGGCTGTGGCGGGGGCCTGGCTGCTGCCTGCAGGGGCACCAGCTTCCGGCCTGTGACACCGCCACTCGTGGTCACCGAGTGGGGCTGGAGGGCTGCGTGAGCGGCCACCGCTAAGGCGCCACCTCCCCTGGGCCTGGGTTTTCCCATCTACGACACGGAGGGCAGAGCAGGCCTGACCTGGGGGCTACTGGGGATTCCGTGGGAGCTGCCCCCCAGGACCGGGGCCCGGGGGTGACGATGACCATCCCAGGTGCCGCCAAGTCACCCCTGACAGAAGGAACGGGGACCACAGCCAAGTAGAGGACCTGGTTTATTTCCGACGCAGGTGAGTCTCAGGACAGCACAGCAGCCCCCAGGCGAGGCGGGGCGGGGCGGGGTGGGGCGGAGCTAGAACTCCACCTTGCAGGCAGGGAAGGCCTCGTCCTGCATGGACACAGTGCTGTTGCTGCCCAGCACCGTGATGCCCAGCGCCTGGTGCCGGGCATGCGTCTCCTCATACCACTCATGCATGGCCACCGAGTCGAAGGTGGGGATCAGGGTCACCTGCGGGTAGGACGGAAGGAGCGACGGTGAGGGGAGCGCCCGCCGCCCTCCTGGCCCAGCTCCACGTGCCCAGGCCTCTCTTCTCTGCCCCCGTTCTCTCTTGCCTGGAGGTCTGCGGCTGGCGGCCCGCCTGTCCCTGAAGTCCTTTCTCTTCCTCTAGCACCCAAAGGGCCCTCTTACAGCCCAGGCGGCCAGGCCGCTCTTCTGTGAATCCCCCCTCATGCTTCCCACCAACCTCCCCACCGCCATGTCTCCCTCTTAGCTCACCCAGGCCTCCCTGCACCTCCTTGAATGCGCCGAGCCTACTCCCACCTCTGGGCCTTTGCCCCTACTGTACCTGCTGCCAAGACACTCCCTGGCAGCTGCTTGACGAGTTGCACGAGAGTCGCACGAGAGCAGGGGCGGCACACGCCCTGCGCAGGGCTGGGCGGGGGCCAGGGACCGGAAGATCCTCTCCACCCAAACTTGCCTCACCCTCCATTTCAATCTCACGGTCTCAAGCGAGCCTCACTCTCAAGGACAGTTTTCAACTGCCTCGGCCACACAGACACTGCACGCCTCACCAGTCCAGCTGGACCAATCCTAGGGGTCGGGGGGCGGGAGGTGACCGAGCCAGCCCCGCCCTTGTCCTCACCCGGGATTGCTGCAGACTGAGGAGGCAGTGGACGTGACAGGAACAGAGGCCTGACAGTGGGGGCTCCTGCGTCTGCCCTCATTCCTGTGTGCCCTTGGGGACGCGCCTTCTTTCTGAGCCCCGCGCCCTCCTCTGGGAGGTGGGGGAATCACTCAGGAGACCGTGTGGGTTCAAAAGGAAGACACCAGCAGGTGCTGGCCCTGCTTTGTGCCCAGACTGCTGGAGGCCTGGAGGGGCACGCACCTGGAGGTCCCGGTCCCACTGACGCTTGCCGGCCAGCAGCGCGTCCAGGACGGCCCGCATGCCCTCCTCCTTGCGCTGGTCCTGGCCACTGATGACGTAGCAGAGTGCCCGCACTCGCCGGAAGAACTCCTCGTCCACCAGGCGGGCGCTGCCCCCGCTCGGCAGGTAGGCCAAATCGAGGTAGATGGGGGAGCCGGGCGGAGCCGCTGACGCACCTGGCCGGCTGCCGCCTGACCCTGTGGGCAAGAGAGCAGGAGTCAGTTTGGATTCCCAGGACCGGGAAAGGGCCGAGACCCAGAGCCCAGGACGAGGCTCCCAGCTCCACCTGCACCTCTCCGAGCAGCTCCCTCCTTGTCAGGAGTCCTAATCTCAGCGTTTGATGATTGACAAGCCCTCCCTGGCAGGGGCAGTTACTCAGTGAACTCTGCAAACACCCTGGACCACCTCCTCAGTGCCTGGACCCTCCCTGGCCAGTCCCTGGAGACAGACATCCCCGGGAAGAAAGGTAGGGGCAATCAGAGAGGGCTTCTTGGAAGAGGCAGTCTTGGAGCTTGAGCCCTGAAAGCAGCTGGTGCCTGGAACACTCCATTGCTTCTGCAGCACCCGTCCATGCAGCTGTGTTTCCCAAGCCCTCCTGGCTCCGGGTGCTGGGACACGGCAGCAACCAAGACAGAAAATCCCTGCCCCAAGGGTGACGGAAAGCCAGTGCTGGGGTGGGAGGGACAGAGTTATCCGAGGGACAGCCAGGATGGGGCAGCCACTCTCAGGGCCTCGCCCACAGCCCTGAACCCAGAGCCTGTGCAAGGGGGACGAGGCCACCGCTCTGGATCAGTTCACTGAGGACACAGCTGGGTCTCACGCGCAGGAAGCCTGCCAGATGCCTGGCGCCTGACAGCCATGAAGAGCGCCCAGCTCAGAGGGCAGCCAGGGCATGTGCACAATGAATGAAATCCCAGCTTTGGGCAAGTGGCGCCCGCACTCAAAACTGGGGACTGTGGCAGCGAGGGTCTGAGTGGAGCCTCAGGAGGAAAAAGCCACGTTGGCCATGGAAGGCGTGAGGGAGGCAGGAGTGGCAGAGGCGGAAGGGCAGAGAGAAGACAGGGGGACCATGGGCAGGAGGACAGGGTAGAGGGGAGCCCAGCAGCTATAGCCCATGGGCCAAACACGACAGACACCTGCTTTGTCAGTAGTTTTGCTGGAGTGCACACGCACTCACCCAGCTGCTTCTGTGCTACAGCTGCAGAGCTGAATATGGGACAGAGACCGCCTGGCCTGCAAAGCTGAAAATGTCTACCCCGGCCCTTTAAGACAGGCTGCTGACACCAGCATGGAGGGTCAGTTTACCTGAGGTGGTGGGAATGGGAGACCCCAAGTGGCCAAGACCGTGGCCTCTCTGGAAAAAGGCCAAATGCCCCAGACAACAGAACTTTAGATGACCCCCACCCTCTGGGGCCAGCCTTGCCCACGGGCCCTGGGGGCCACCATCTCCCTCCCGCTGTGCTGGGAACCCCTGACCTGCCGAAGGGCCCAGGGGCCCATCAGGTGCCTCCTTTGGAATCTGCCCAAGAAAGACAAGAGGTGGCAGCTCAAGCAGGTGCTGAGGCTAGGAGAGAATCGAGAGCCCAGGACAGCCAGGAGCCAAGGACAGGTCACGAGGGGGGAGAAGCGGAGACGTCCACCAGCTCCATGAGGGCAGGCCCACCCCGGGCACTGGAAGAGGGCCCAGGCCAGGGCGAGCGCTCAGCACCATGAGCTGGAGGTGCTGCCTTCACCAGCATAACTGGTCTCTCCCCAGCCCTCCCTAGGCAATTCTAGGCCTGCGCTGACCAACGCAGTGGACAGCAAGCACTGCCACATGGCACGTGTGACCGAGACCAGCTGGGAGGGCACTCCAGGCTCTCAAGACGTGCTCTGGGAAAGAGAAAGAGGAACTATCGAGTCATTTCTTCTCTTGATTACACATTGAAATATCACTTTGGTGTAGTATGCAGGAAAGAACACAGCAAGAGGATTCTGGGACAATGGCACAGTAAGAAGCACCAGGAATCTGTCTCCTGTGCTGGCAGCCCCTCCCTGTAAGGGTGAAGCAAGCTACCTGCAATTTAAAGGACTGTGCCGTTTTGGGGGGGGGGGGGGGTGAGGAAGATTGGCCCTGAGCCAACATCTGTTGCCAATCTTCCTCTATTTTTTGTAGGTGGGATGTCGTCACAGCATGGCTTGAGGAGTAGGTCTGCACCCTGGATCCAAACCTGTGGACCCCTGGCCACCAAAGCAGAATACACGAATTTAACCACTGTGCCACTGGGCAGACCCCGGACTGTGCATTTCTTATTCTTCTTCCCATCCCCCCTTCATTTTTTTTCTTTTTCCCCTTTTGGGAGCCAGACATTTAAGGATTAGACATTCAAAAGCAACCGCATATATACGGGAATTTAGAAAGTCACCATGCGTGCCCAGGGAAAGGTGCAGGCACAGCAAAGATCTGAGAAGACCTTACATTCATACCCCAGACTGATGGCCAGCACAGAGACAGCCCACTACAGCTAAACAAAAAAGCCACAGCAAACCCTGGGGAAAGATGAAATTTGGATCACCAGAGTTACCACATTATTAAATTCAAATGACCAGTTTTCAACAGCAACAAAAAAAATCACAAGGCACCCAAAGAAAGAAAGAAAGGCCCATTCAAAGGGAAAAAATCAATCAAAGAAACCATCCAGATGGCAGACTTACTAGACAAAGACTTTAAAAACAACAGTCTGAAAGAGACTCAAAGAACTAAACGAGGACGTGGAGACAGCCAAGAGAATGATGTATGAACAAAACAAAAATAAGGAAACATAAAACAAAAAAAATAAATGAAAAATTCTGCCACCAGAAAGCACAATAACTGAAATGAAGAAAATTCACTAGAGGGACTCCATTCAAGGTCTGAACAGGCAGAAGAACCAGGAATCCTGATGAGAGGACAATGGAAACTGAGTTCCAGGAAGAGAAAGAGAAATGAGTGAAGAAAGTGAAGAGAACCAAAGGCACCTGTGGGACACCCTCAAAAGGTCTAACACACACATTACAGGACTCTCAGGAGGAGAGACAGGGCAGAAGGATCATTTGAAGAAATAATGGCCAAAAGTTCCCCATATTTGAGGAAAGACATGAATATAAACACCCAGGAAGCTCGATGCACTCCGAGCAGGACGAACTCCAACAGACCCACACTGACTGAGACACACGGTGCCAAACCCGCTCTAGTCAAGCTGCTGAAGACGAGATGAGGAGCAGCCCTGCGGGAGGAGCAGGAGAAACGGGAATCCACAGCTGTAGATGCTTACACCGAAAAGAGGCCCTCAAATCAGCCGCCTCACATTACACCTCAAGGAAACAGAACAAGAACAAAGAAATTCAAAGACAGGAGAAGCAAGGAAATAATACAGATTAGAGCAGAAATTCTGAAAGAGAGACTAGAAAAACAACACAGAAGAAAATCATCAAAACCAAAAGTTGGTTCTTTGAAAAGATTAACAAAATTGGCAAATCTTTAGTGGATGGACTAAGGAAAAAAAGAGAAGACTCAAATGAGTAAGATCAGAAATGAAAGCGGGGACGCGACTGCTGGTTCTATGGAAATTAGCATTAGGAGAGCAGAACGGACTGCTGCACACCAACAAAGCGGATAACCTCGAGGAAATGTTCAAGTTCCTAGAAACAAGAAACCCACCAAGACTGGATCACAAAGAAATAGAAAATCTGAACAGACCTCTAACTAGGTAAGGAGACTGGATCAGTAATCACAAGCCTTCTGGGCTTCAAGCAAACATTTAAAGAACTGACACCAATCCTTCTCAACGTTTCCAAAAAACGAAGAGCAGGAAACACGTCCTAACTCATTCTACGAGGCCAGCATTACCCTATACCAAGGTTAGGCAGAGACACCACCAAGAGAGAAAACTACAGACCAACATCCCTTTGGAACACTGACGCAAAAGGCCTCAACAAAATACCAGCAAACCGAATTCAGCAGCATATTAAAAAGATTACACACCATGACCAAGCAGGATTTATTCCTGAGATGCAGGGATGGTTCAACATATGAAAAACCAGTGTAGGAAGAATGAAGGAAAAACCCCATCTGGATCATCTCAAGTGATGTGGAAAAGGCACTTGATAAAACCCAGCACTATTCCATGATAAACACACTCAACAAACCAGGAACGGAAGGAAACCACCGTAACATAACAGCAACCACATGTGGAAACCCACGGCTCACATCACACTGTACGGTGAGGGACAGAAAGCTCCTCCTCTGAGACCAGGAACGAGGCGAGGGTGCCACTCTCACACTTCAAGACAGCGCTGGAAATCCTAGCCAGGGCAGCAGGCAAGAAAAAGAAAGAAAAGGCCTCCACACTGAAAGGGAGAAGGGAAGTGACCTCTGTTCACAGATGACACGATCTTACATGCAGAAAATCCTAAAGACTCCACACACATAAAAGAAACCTGTTAAAACTAATAGATGAAGTCAGCAAAGCAGCTGGATGCAAAATCAACACACAAAAATCAGCTGTGTTTCTACACACTACAATGAGCAATTCAAAAAGGAAACTAAGAAAACAATTTCACTTACAATAGTATTAAAAAGAATAAAATATTTAGGAATTAACTTAACCAAGGAGGTAAAATATTGGTACGTGAAAATTACAAGACATTGCTGAAAGAAATTAAAGACATAAATTAATGGAAAGACATCCCGTGTTCACGCGTTTAGACTTCACATCGTTAAGATGTCAGCACCGTACAAAACAATCTACAGGGCCAATGAGACCCCAGTCAAAATCCCAATAACGTTTTTTGCAGACACAGAAAAACACACTCTAAAATTCACGTGGAATCTCAAGGGACCCCAAATAGCCAAGACAATCTTGAAAAAGAACAAAATTGGAGGACTCACATTTCCTGATTTCTAAGCTTACCACAAAGCAACAGTACCGAGACAGAGTGGTGCTGGCACAAGGACAGACATACAGACCCAAGGAACAGAACAGGGAGCCCAGAAATACACCCTGGCATATATGGTCAAAGGATTGTTGACAAGGGTGCCAGAGCTTCCAATGGGGAAAGCGCAGTCTTTTCAGCCACTGGCGCTGGAAAACTGGATCTCCACACCACAGCGATGAAGCTGGATGCTTCTTTAGCACCACGTACAAAACTAATTTAAAATTAATCAAAGAGAAAAATGTGACAGCTAAAATTATAAAGTTATTAGAAGAAAACATATGGCAAAAGCTCCCTGACACTGGGTTAAGCCATGATTTCCTGGATATAATACCAAAAGCACAGGCAACAAAAGAAAAACAGACAAACTGGACTCCATGAGAATTAAAAACTTTTGTGCATCAAAGGACACTACCAACAGAGTAAAAAGACCACCCACAGAATGGACAAAATATTTGCAAATCATATATCTGATAAGGGATTAATATCCCGAATATGTAGAGAACTCTCATAACCCGACCACAGAAAGACAGACAACCCAACTCCAAAACGGGCAGAGACGTGGCTAAACGCTCTCCAAAGAGACAGACGCCCGGCAGGCCCAGGAAAGACACTCCACATCGCCGTCCACCAGGGAAATGCCGATCAAACCTCAAGGCAGCACCAGCTCACCGCCACCGGGACGCCGCTATCAAACAGCCATGAGACAAGTGTTGGCGAGGACGCGGAGAAACTGGAAACTGTGCACTGTGGTGAGAATGTAAACTGGTGCGGCCACGTGGAAAACTGTGGCAGTTCTTCAAAAAAATTCAACATAGAATGACCCTATGCTCCAGCAATCCCACTTGGGGTATAAACCCCACAGAACTGCGAGCAGGGACTGAGAGGCGTTTGTACGTGCCGGTCCAGTCACCACAAGCTGGAAGAAACCCACGTGTCCATCAAGGGATGAACGAAGCGCAGTCCATCCACACACTGGAATACTGAGCAGCTCGAAAAAGGAAGGGAATTCTGCCACGTGCTCCAGCATGGATGAGCCCCGAGCGAGTGACGCTCAGTGAAATAAGCCCGATGCAGAAGGGCAAACACTGGGATTCCGTCAGACGAGGTCCCTAGAGGAGTCCGACTCACAGGGACAGAAAGCGCAAGGGAGGGTACCAAGGGCCGGGAGTTGGCATTTAATGGGACAGTTTCAGTCTCAACAGATGAAGGGAGTCCTGGAGACGGATGGTGGGGGCGGCTGTACAAGAAAGGGATGTGCTGAATGCCACTGAACAGTGTGCTGAAAAATGGCCAAGGTGGTAACTTTTATATTATGTATATTTCATCCCAGTTTTTGAAAACTGGAGAAAAAAAGCACAGCAGGCCTGAGACTCTGTCCTTAGAAGCCTCACCCTCTGGCCCTTGGCTGGCGTTTGGGAACCGACTTCAGAAGGGTTCCCCCTCTTCCGGAAAGGGTCGGGGTGCACGGTGCCGGCGTGGCTCGTGCTGAAGACCCGCCGCCCCTCCTGCGGAGTCCGCGATTCTGGGACTTGACCAGCCCCCGACAGAGACCCTGGGAGATCTCAAAGGAGATCCCGGGTGGACAACACTTCACACGTGTCATCGCAGCTTGTTGATGGGGGAGTTACACCCGCGGTGCGACTCCACCGCGAGAAGGCTCTAGAAGCTTGTGCCTGGTTTCCTGGCACACCCCTGTGCCGTTCCTGCTGTATCCTCTTGTTCTAATACACCTCAGCCACGAGCACGACGAGCGCCTGAGTTCTCCCTGCCAACCACAAACTGGGAGGTGGCCTCGGGAACCTCAACACAAACGGGTTAAAGAAAGCACAGCGCTGCCATTAGTGCCGCCCACTTCTCTTGCCAACCCGGCTACTAGAAGCAGCCCACTCACACGTGTGCTGTTTCCACTGACAGCACTGCCTGCACGCCCTGGAACCACAAGTGCCCCAACAGTGAGGCCAGAGCTTCAGTCTTACAGGAGAAACTGAGGTCCAGAGAGGGTGGCGGGAGTGGCGGAGGCCACACAGCAAGCAGAGAATAAGAGAACTTGGGCTGGTAACCCACTGCAGGACTCCAGCCCCCAGGTACTTACCAGATGGGCCCCGACTGGTGGTCTTGGGGACCGAGGACTTTCTAGACAGGGGTGCCCGACCTCCCTTGTCACTGGGCTCGCTCCGGGCGCTGAGTGGCCGACTGGCCCGGTCCCCACCAGCCAGCCCCTTGGTCTTGGCAGTGGTCAGTGGAGAGGCTTTGGGGGCAGCAGTGCCAGGGCTGGGGCGGGCCAGGGACTTCCGCGCACGGCTGAGGCCATCTGTCAGCCGGGCCTGCTCCGGGGGCAGCATCTCAGGGTCCACCATACAGATGCTCGGTGGGGTGGGCAGCGGTGGGGGGAATTTGAGGGGGTCGGGTAAGGGGTCACGGCGAGGGCCCCCAAAGCCCTCCGTGTCCTCGTCAGAGTCGGCAGTGCCAGGGGTGGCAGGCAGGGGGTCTGAGTCAGACAAGGTGGGCAAGGACTCGCTGACAGATGTGGGTGGTGTCTCCTCGGCCCCTGGGGCACTGGCCCGCTCCTGGGACCGGGCGCTGCTGTCGTTGGAGCTGCCTGGGGATGCTGGGGCCGGCAGCAGGGGCACGGCCTTGCGGTGCTCAAACTCGCAGGGCGACACCAGGCACAGGTCCACGTCATGTGGGGAGGCCGAGCGCCGTGCCCGCGGGCCTCGAAGCGGGAGGCTCAGCCCAGCCTCACTCGTGGTGGCGGATGGCGGTGGCAGCACCTGCTCGAAGGAGACGGACAGGGACTCGTCCACCTCTGTGGAGTGTGGGGAGCCCACCTCAGCAGGCAGCGAGGGCGTGGTCACTGTGGGTGAGGCATCCGGCCCGGCCTCCCCGCCCCGCAGCGGGCTTAGGGACAGCCGCCCGCTGCCCTCGGTCGGGCCCTGGGGGGCTCCGGGGGGCGAGGGTGTGCATGGCTGGGGGCTGCTGGTGGCCAGCAGCAGCTCCAGTGCCTTCTCCCCGAAGCTGCCGCCGTCCTCCCCGGCTGGGCTCAGCCCCAGCTCCAGGCTGCTCTCCTGGCTGGGTGTTGCCACCAGTGGGGGGGCTGGGGAGCTGCAGGCCTCGGCGGGTGGGCTGGCCTCTTGGCCCCGGAAGCTGGGGGGGCTGCGGGGCCCATTCTCCGCTGGTGGCACAGCTGGGTGGGGGGTGTTGGGTGCTCTGCGGGGCTTGGGGGCTGCCTGGGCACCGGTCTTCTTGACACTGACCACAGCAGAGGCTGCCCGGCGCACCTCCCGCGGCTGGGTCCGAGGGGTGCTCAGCTTGGGGTCCTTCTTCACTTCCCGGGGGGGCCTGGCCTCCTTCTCAGCCCTGCGAGGGGCCTCAGCCCGTGGGGGCTCCTTCCGGGCCACCGCAGGGCGCTCCTGGGCAGGCCTGGCAGGTGTTGTCATCCGGCTCTCTCTTCTCAAGCTGTCCCGGGAGCCCACACTTTCCTTGCTCTCAGCTCGCCGAGGCCCTGCCAGGTCCTGGGGGGTCACCACAGGCTCCCGCAAGAACCCCAAGTGCTGCAGGCGGACCAGGCCATCCAGGAGGCGGGTGGGCGGCGTGCAGCCAGGGAACAGCACGCGCACCACTTTCTCAGTGGGGCCCGCGGGGTGCCACACCAGCAGGGCACACACGGAGACCGGCGGTCTGTCGGCAGCAGCCGAGGGCGGGTGCAGCACGTACATGTCAAGCCGGCCCACGCCCATCTTCTGGAAGAGCACGGTGGGCTCAGCGGGCAGCGGCCCGCGGGTCAGAGGCAGGGGCGTGATGCCAAGCCGGGCCAGGAGGCTCAGGGCCAGCTCTGCCTCATCCTCGCCACGCACCAGACGCGAGGCAGCCACCCGGGCGTTGAAGAAGACGACCCCAAGGCTGGGCGAGACGAGCCTGCGCAGCCTGTCGTCCCCGGAGCCCCCGCCGGCCACTGCCTCGTCACGCTCAGCCAGCTTGCGCCGCAGCAGACTGTTGAGGCCGGGGAGGCTGTCGGCGCCCGCGTGGGTCACCAGCACGGCGTCCACCCGGTCCAGGTGCCGTACCAGCTTCCAGAAGCTCGACTTTGGGTTCGAGCCGCCGTTGACCAGCACAGTGAAGCCGTTGACGGCAAAGAAGGCAGCATCACCGAGGCCACCGGGGAAGATGTAGCAGCAGGGCCGGGCAAGCCTGAGGAAGCCCACGGAGGCCGGCGGCTCGAGCAGCTCAAAGGGGGATGGCGGCTCCAGCACCTCGGCCACGTACTCCAGAAACTCACGCAGGCCCTCAGAGGCCGGCCCCTGTGCTGGAGGGTTCAACCGCAGCTGCAGCATGCCCTGGAGGCCGGGCACCTCGGGGACCAGCTCGGCCCAGTCACCAAAGGTTGGGCAGGTGATGGTGAGCTTGGGCAGGTCTGCGTGTGGGGGTGCGGAGGCCAGGAGATCCAGGATCTGCAGAGGAGCAGACAGTTAAGGGGCCACCTGGAGCCAGGGGACACCCAGCCCATTGGGAGAAGAGCAAGGATATCCCCGCCCTGCCTCCTGGGGCTGGGAGGGTCGTTCGCCTGCCCTCATCACCCTCCGGACAAAACCCAACCCTCCCCACAGCCCTCGAGGGCCCATGGTCCTGCCTCACCACTGGTCCCCCTCCCTACCATCACCCTCACTCGCTACAGTGTGAACACCTGGCCTGCGCGAGTTTTTCCTCATTTGCCCCGCCCAGTCTAAGGGCGCTCCATAAGGGACCTGTCTAGCTCTCTCCCAGCTGGGACCCGGAATCTGGGGTGCCACTTGAGGCCTCTGGGACATCTGCTGATCTACAGCCCCTGCCTCGAACCACACACTGTAGTGGATGACGGGACTGGGACCCGACAACATGCAAGGAGGGACACGTGTCAGCACCATCATTCCACAGAGAGGGAGGGGATGGGGCCCAGGGGGACAGCAGTTGGCCAGGCCACGCAGCCTGATGAGGATGAGGCAGGATTCAGAGCCAGGGAGGTGGCGGCTTACTTCTTTGTCCCCCAGGACCTGGAGGAAGTGGCGGGACGAGAAGCCCCCCGTCTGGAGCAGCAGCTCCCCCGTCTCCTCCAGGCAGGGCCCAGCCAGCACCAGCAGCTTGTGAGGGGAAGGGTCCAGCAGAAGGTCCCGGAGCTGAGGGGAGGGGAGACTGTTAAAGGCCTTATTCTGTGCAGTGACATAGCCAGCACCCCACTCTGGGGCAGCCCCCAGTCCCACATCTACGTATAACCACCCCACAGCCAGGCCAGAGAAGCTGGGAGGGTAGCCTCTGGGCACTCCCCTCCCCCCAACAAACCCCAGCTCATCCTACAAAGCCTGGCTCCAGTGCCCCCACCTCCCGGAAGCCCTCCGTACCCTTGATGGGCCCCCTCAAGTCCACCTCTCTCCCGGCCCAGCCCCAACGCCATGAAGGAGGTATCTGTGTCTGGCTCTGGCTCCTTCAGAGCCCCTTGAGGGAGCAAAAGGGAGTATTTTTGATGAGAGGAGTCAACGACACAAGGTCTCTGGAGGGGTGCCCCAGGGCTCTATCTTTCTCGTCTTCCTCAAGGACGCGCCCTTCTCTGGGAGAAGGGTGCAGACGCCCAAAAGCCGGAAGCACTGCAGTCGATTCAGACAAGTCCTGGGGCTGGCTCAGCGCAAACATCTTCAGGTCCTACCTGCCCTAGCCCACTCCTTCCTCCCAAACTCCCACCTCTGCTCCACCCTCTCATCGCCGCTCCTGAGGAGGGAATAACTTGAGGCTGGAGCCCCCGGGGAAGGTTTCCCGGGGGAGGAGATGCTGCTGCTGGGTGTTGAGAAGAGGATTTCGGGCAGCAAAAAGTCCGGGACACAGGAGGTCAGGCCGGGGATGGCGTGCTTCCAGTAGCCCGCTCCCTCCAGCAGCTGCCCTTCCCTACCTCGTCACACAGCGACTTGTCTGATGGGTTTAGGAGGACCAGCGTCTCCAGGGTGTCTCCGCGGTGGTGCAGGCTCCGCTGGCCTGGGGGCAATTGGGCCCTGTGAGTTTGGGGCTGGGCCACGTGCAGGGGGTCAGGCTGTCCTGGGGTTGAACCGGGCCTCCCTGAGTTGACCCCAGGCAGCCCCAAGCCCCTCCAAGCCTCCATTTCCTGGGAACCCCAGCCAGGGGTCATCTGGGGGTTAACAGACACATGGCACAGCCACAGGCCTGGATGAGGCAAGAACAGGAAACCCGCCTTGGCAGGCCACACGCTGGAAACAGCAGTGACAACAGGGCCTCCACTGCCTTCGGGGCCCGATTTGCAGCCGTCAGCCCTATGGGGGAACACCATCGCCACCACCACTGCATAAGCAAGGCCCAGGGAAGGCCGAGGGTCCACCAGGAAGAGGCCACGGCCTCGCAGGCCTCGGCCCTGCGTGCCTGAGGGTCAGGAAGTGGTGGGTGGGGCTGGAATGAGGGCGGCGTGAGGAGCTGAGCACAGGGAGGCCTCATGGACCACGGAGAGGGGAGTGGGGTTAACTCCGGGATCCCAACCGTGGTCTGTCCCCAGAGCCCAGATGTGTTTCAAATCTGGCACATGAGGCCCTGGAGCTAAAGGCCAGGGCCCTCCAGTGCTGCTCTGCCTTCATCAGTTTACCACACGCTCCTGTCACAGGCTACTGCCGCACTCAGGAGAGAAAACCAAGGCATGGAGGGGGCTAGCGGCCACCAAGGTCACACAGAACAAATGGGATTTCCAGCTCCCCCCACCCTGTGAGGGGTCAGGAAGCCACCCAGAACCGCTGGGACAATGAGGTGATGGACACTTCCTTCCCCTCCTGCAGCAGCCGGGAGGTGACTCAACAGGCCGGCGGAGGCGGAGGTGCGGGCGCCACTGGGCTTGGCTTACCCAGGCTCAGCCCAGAATCCCCAGGGAGCCATGGGCCACGTGCCGCTGGCCCAGGCATCCCCACCCCTCCTTGATCTTGTTCCTTTCTTAACTCCCCATCTATTGAGCACCTACGGTCTACCTGGTCCTGTGCAGGGGTCACAGCCACGAACCAGACACGGTTCCTGCCACATGGGGCCCACACTCCACTCTCCAGGCCCCTCGGCAGCCTCTTACTTTCCCAGTGTCCTGTCCCTTTGCCTGAGCCCTTCCCTCCACCTGCCACCTCAGCCACAGCTGCTCTCATCCAAAATGCCCCCTCCTGGGTGGGCTCCCTGTCCCCCACCCCTCATCTGTAAAATGGGGACAAAACCACAAGTTCCTGCATTGTGGGTTATTGAGGACTGAGGAAGTCAGCGCTGCGACAGGGCTCACCCCTGCTCCGCCCCCGGCAGATCGCGCTGTACTATTACTGTTGTTGTCTACAGCCGTACCCAACCCCAGGCCTGGCACAGAGCTGGCACTCAGAGAACACTTGCCCAGTGAATGAGTGTACATGGAACAGCGGGGGCACCGGGGTGCCCAGCCTCACCTTTCACGATGCTGGAGAAGGTGGCCGAGTGCCGGGACACGAAGACCTTGAGCTGCTCATCAAGGCTGCAGACGCCAGGGTCAACGTCCCAGGACCGGATGCCTGGCAGGGGGTGGGGGTGCCAAGGGAAGCGAGGTGGGAAATCAGCTGGGCTCCCCAGCTCCCAGAATGTTTCAATGACTGGCACCTGGCAGGTGGGGGCAGCCCAGCCCAGGACAGCCTGGAGACTGAGGACCACCCGAGTGCTCTTGACCCCACTGTATCAAGGAACCCAAAGCGTAACCTGGCATTTTACAGAGACTCAGGACACCAGCAAGAACGCCCCCGCTCAATGGTCATCTTGTCCCCTCCATCACCTCCTCCACCCTGCCGGCCACCTTCCCACCTCTCCTCCTTTGCACCCGCTGTTCCCACGGCCCTGAGGCCCTTTCCCCGCTTCAGGTGCTAAGACCCACTGTCCTCTCAGCCTTCTGCATCCTTCTGAGCACTCCCGACAGCTCAAAACTTGCGGCATCTCCTCCCTGACTTTGGGTCCACTCCCCACCAGACTGTTGGCCTCGCGAGGGCAGGCCTGGGCCTGCGGGGGAGCATCCTCCAAGCAGGGGAGCCGAGCTGTGTGTGCCACCAGGTGACTTTCCAGGCGATGGACCCCAGGCCCTGCCCGCCTGTGACGGGGGTGTGAAGGCCCTCCGACCGCGGTGGCGGCGGCGGGTGCACCACGCCCGCCAGTCCCGCCACGCCACCTGCAGCAGGTGAACCTCGCAGGTGCACCTATGACTCACCCCCCGGGCGCGGGCCGGCCCGCCCACACCCCACTTAGCAGCTCCTCCCGGAGCACCAGAAAGTGGGCCCCGGGGCTGCGGCCCGGCCTCGCCAGCCCTGCTCCCCGCCCCGGAGATGCGGCTGCCCGGGCCCGGGGATTCCAGGCGACCCGGCCTCCCCTCGGCGGGCGGGACGCGGAGGCGGCGCCCACCCTGCCCAACCGCGGGGGGCCCAAGGCCGGGCCCGGGTCCCTCCCCGGTCTGCAGCCGGTGGGCGGCGCGGCCCCGCCCGGGCCCGGACGGCCTCCTCCGCCGGCGCCTGACAGCGAGGCCCCGAGCCCCGCCCGCCCCGGGCCCGGCCCCGGCCCCGGCCCCGGCCGCGCCGCCCGACCTCGCTCGAGCTCCTCCAGCACGTAGCCCAGCAGCCCCGGGCCCGCGCACTCGCCGCCCACCACGAGCAGCAGCGAGCTCGGCGCCCCGACCTCCGGACGCCCAGCCGCCGCCGCCATCTTCGCGCGCCCCGCCGCGCCGAGCGCCGCCCCGCAGGCCCCGCCCCTTAAAGGGCCGGACCGGAAGGGCTGCAGACCCCGGCCGGAAGCCCTTCCGCGGCCCTGCCGACCCCTGGACCGGGGAGCTGGGGGCGCGGGCGCCCAAGGGGTGGAAGGCCTGAGTCTCTGCTTTGGGCCCGCCCTCCCAGTGACCGTTCATTCATTCAACAAGCTTGACTACACGCCTCCCACAGGCCGATCACAATCCCTGCCCTCTGGGGGCTCACCTCCCAGCACAGTGGGCCCAATCAGAACCAGACCCAGATGCTCCCAGATGCTCCCAACCGCCTAGGTCGGGGCTGGAACAGAGAAAAGAAAGGCATCTTGTAGCTAGGGCTTTGAGGGATGTGTAGGAGTTTGCCAGGTATGGGTGGTGGGGCAAGAGCATGTGAGGCAGAAATTAGAGCAGGTGCAAAGTTTTAGAGATAGCAAAGTACATGTATGTTTGGGCCATGTTCTGGAGCACTCTGGGTCTAGAGCAAGGCGACACACTTACTCTGCACCTACTGTGTGCCAGGCATTTTACTCCATTAGCTCATTGTATACATGCACACACCTATAAAGTAGGCGCTGTTATTACAGTCATCTCAGAGGAATGGAGAGGAAACTAAGGCTTGAGGAGATGAAGTCACCAGGCCCATAAGTGGTAGAGCAGAGATTCAAACCCATGAAACTGAGAACAAAGAAGTTAAAAATCTTCCCTGGGCTAGAAGAAAAAAAAATGAGATAAGATTTGCTAACTGCAGGTATGCATACTCAGCACAATCAACTGTTGTTTAAAACTAACCAGGTCTTTCTGTCCCTCCTTAGTATAGGAGTGAGCTGTCTTTCCCAGGATGTCAAGGTCCAGACGTCAAGAAAAAAGAAAAAGGAGAGGCCGGCCCCATGGCCGAGTGGTTAAGTTCACACACTCTGCTGCGGTGGCCCAGGGTTTCGCTGGTTTGCATCCTGGGCGCGGACATGACTCCACTCGTCCCACATGCCACAACCAGAAGGACCCACAACTAAAATATACAACTATGTACTGGGGGGCTTTGGGGAGATAAAGCAGAAAGAAAAAAAAAGAAGATTGGCCACAGTTGTTAGCTCAGGTGCCAATCTTGAAAAAAAAAAAAAAAGAAAAAAAAGAAGAAAAGCAAGGAGATTCAGCCTCACAAAGCTAAACGCAGGCTGAGGATGAAAACTAGCCAGAAAAGTGAAGATAGTTAAAGAAAAAGAGAGATTCAGTGCTCAAGACCAAACAGGCTGAAGATGCCAGCCAGCACAGCCACGTGCTCCCCCTCCCCTACCTAAAACCCCAAATAAAAACCCCTCCCTTTTTCCCTTCAAGGAGGTGGATCTGAGTTCTAGCTCCCATCTCCTCGTCTGACTGCCTTTTGATAATAAACCTCTTTCCCTGCCACAAGGCTGACGTTTCAGTTAACTGACCTTCCTGTGCATTGGGTAGCAAGCCTGTGTTTGTGTTCGATAACACCCAGGTGGGTCTGATTCCAGATCCAGCCTGTGGAAGGACTGACTGCCTGGCTCACGTGGATACCCTTCCCGCCCCAAAGAATCTCATTCAGCCTTTTTACCTATGGCAGCCACTACTAGAAAAATTACATTGCATCAAACTTTTTGACAGTTGCCCATGCCCAGGAAGGACTGGACTGTCACCCATGGGAGTGAGCTCCCCATCTTTGGAGGTATACAAAAGAAATCAAGACAGAATCGGAAAGGTCTGACGCAGATCAGCCTGCCCACTCTTCAGTGTTTGGGTTGTTCAAGCCCAACTTCCTCCCTGGTCAGTGTGTAACAGTCTCTGGCCACATGCTGTCTAATGTTCTGGCTCTCCACTTCCTCTTTTTCTTTTGGGCCTGGCATCCTTCCTCTATCCTGGTCCCTCCCCCTTGGCGGCCTTCCCTGTGTCCTGGCTGCCTGTGGTTTCTTGTATTACTGCTCTGAGCAATAATGACAGTGGGAGCGTCTGTGTCAGACTGTCTCCCCCGCCTCAGGATGGGAGCTTGTTGAAGGCCAGACCCGGCAGAGGCCTCTCCAGGGCCTGGCCTTTGCAGGACAAGGCTGGGCATCCAGGAAGTGCATGATAAAGACTCGTAGAATGGAGGTGAAAAGCCCATTCATCTGCCATTCGTTCATTCATTTATTCCTTCACGTATATTTATTGACTGGGTCAGGACTCGAACCCAGGACCTTCTGAATGAAGTCCATGATCTTCCTCTGCCCAAAGCTGTGAGTTATGATTGTCGGTATTAATTGTAGCTGGCCATAAAGGGCCCTGGGGTTTCATGATGTGTCTCCACCAGGGGGTCTGACTGGGGGCAGGGTCCCTCCTTAGGCCTCTGGGGGCTGATGTTCTGAGTGTTCTGAAGCCCTGATGTTTTCCTGCCCCATAGCGTGCCCCAGCTGGGGCCCCTGGGCTGAGGAGTGTGGGGAGCATCTCCTCAGAGATGAAGAAGAATCTGGGGAGCATTTCTGAAATCCCAGGCGTTGGATTCAGGTCACCGTCCTCCTGCCTTCGTCCACCCCCAGCTCCATGTCTGTTTCAAGGTCGCCAGTCCCCAGAGGGGTCAGACCATGGCGTTTGTGGGGAAAATGGAACCCTCGGCCCTCAGGACTGCCAGATGCTCTCATCTTCTTCACCTGACAATTCTTTTCTCTTTTTAGCATTTTTGTTGAGATTAACATAGGCATGGTCAAGTTCACAAACGTCACAAGTAGAGGCTGATGAGGGTGATGACCTTCCAGTCTGGATCTAGCACATTCCCAGCCTCTGGCAGTTCTTGGACACTCCAGGTGATTCTCCCGTCCCAAGGCGACCACTGCCCTGACCTCTGTTGCTGTAGGTGAGTTTTTGCCTGGGTTTGAACTTCGTATAAATGGGATCACACAGGTGTTTGCTCTTACACCTCGCTTTTCATGCTTCTCATGTTGTGGTAAGGAGCAGGTATCTGCACTTCGTCAGGGCTGTGTAGTATTCCTGGGCACCACTGTTTCTTTTTATATTGTGGTAAAATATGTATAATATATAACTTACCATTTTAACCATTTTAAAGTATGTTATTCAGTGACATTTAGTACATTCACAATGCTGTGAAGCCCTCATTAACATCTAGCTCCAGAACACTTTCATCCCCTTAAAAGGAGACCGGGTCCCCAAGAGCAGTCACTCCCCACCCTCCCTCCCTCCAGCCCTGGCAGCCACTCCTCTGCTTTCTGTCCCTATGGATTTGCCTGTTCTGGACATTGCACACACTGTGTGGCCCTTCCTGTCTGGCTCCCTCCACTCAGCATGATGTTTTCCGGGTTCCACATTGTATTGGGGTGAGCACCTCCTTCCTTTGTATGGGTGGACCACAATGTGTTCACCCAGTCCTCTGTCAGCAGACGTTTGGGTTGCTTCCCACTTGTCATTGATGTGAACAGTTCTGCCGTGAACATTGGAGCGGAGGTTTTTCTTGAGTACCAGCTTTCCGTTCTCTTGAGTCTCCACATAGGAGTGGCGTTGCTGGGTCATATGGTAACTCTATGTTTAGCTTTTTGAACAACTGCCAGACTGTTTTCCACAGCGGCTGCACCATCTTACCTCCCCACCGGCAGGGAATGAGGGTTCTAACATCCTACATCCTTGCAAATGCTTGGGGTTTGTTCTTATTATAGCCACTGAGTACCAATTTTTCTCCATTTG